TCTCCCTCCCTCCCTCCCTTCCTCCCTCCTTTGAAATCTACTTTCCCCGGGGAACGGTTTGTTTCACTGAGAGGCTGGTAATTCTGTTTGTACATGATTTACATTTTGGCCGTGAAATGAGTCCGCCTCCCCACACAGAGTCTCTCCTTAGAGAAGATTCTCCGCCCTCAGCACAGGGATGAGCTCGAATTTGTGTAAAGACCGCGAAGGGATCTCTCTCTCTCTCTCTCTCTCTGTCTCTCTCTCTGTCTCTCTCTCTCTCTCTCTCTCTCCTCTAGCCTCCCTTCCTACCCGCCTGCCTCCCTCCCTGAAACAGGAGGGAAAGGTAGTGAGTAGAGTGGAAATTGATTTCTTGCAGACTGAGTCGCCGAATGATAGAAGGAATAAACATTTGCCCTGGATAAAAATGTTCTTGGTGAGTAATCTTATTTTCTGCTGTTGAAAAGGAAACACATTGCTTCTCACTGCCCCATCCTCCGCTCCATGTATTTATTTGTTCTCTGTATGTAAATCACGAGCTGTGTCGGTGGAAGTGTTCTTTTCCTCCTTCCTGAAAGAGGAGTAGTATTTAAGAGTGAATTTGCCACAGGGGGTTGTAAGGAGGCAATGTGAACATTTCAAGGTCCTTCATTAGCCTGCACTGAAAACCGAGAGACAGGTAAAGTCAATCCTTGCTTGCTTTCTAATGGTATTTAAGGACCTTCTTTATTTCCTACTAACTCTCTTTCCTTCTTGAAAATAAAAATAGTTTCAGGTAGTGGCCCAATGTTTGATGCTCATGCTTTTGGTATATGCCAGCCATGCACTTAAATATAAATATGCTTTCAATTATAGACATTGGGAATGGTTATTTTTCATATGAATTGAAACTATATAAGTCTTCCATTAAATGTACATCCTGGTTTCAATGCTTGTATCAGATACAAGTCAGCCGTGTCCCAAATGGCTTTTTGCGTGGCGTTTCCTAAAGCCCTCTGGTTTTCCATGAGTCTACAGCACCCCCAACCTGCAACGTGCTCGTAGTATGAAGCCTGGGTAGATATAGGAGTGGAAAGAAGCCAAATGCCTCTCAGCTATGCTTGTTTCATATGTTAACAAGTGTGGAGAATGACAGGTATCACAAATTGTGTGAATTTGGTTTTCAAACATAAGTTGACCATTTGGAATGTTTTTTTTAGTAATTGTTTTAAAAATGTAAAGGAGACTTGCTCAATGAGGAATCATTATAAGTTTGAATTATTAAATATGCCACTAGTAGAATACTTACATTAACATTTTTCCTCTATTGTCACCCCTACTTTGTCCCCTTGTCTTCCAATTTTACTAATTAAGGATAAGCTAAGTGATGCGAAATTTTACTCCTGATGCAAGGAAGATGACCTGAACTTCATCAAAAGTATATGATTTTAAAACTCTATTGGAAATTATTTTCATTTTTGATAATTGATATTAGAGAAAATATCAGTATACAATCTCCCCCAAAAAAGCTAAATAGCACATTATAATGACTAAGCAAAGTATGTATGTGCTCCTAATCTATAGTCTATATACAGTCTACAGTCTATATATATATGAAATTTGTCAATGGAAAATTTTCAGTAAGAACATGTTGACATGTAGATAAAACTTTTCTTGCTTCTTTCTTTCTTCAGACTTTATTCCAGCCATAATGATGTCCTAGAACAGAAATTTTTCCTCAGCTGTCTCATTTTACCAAGACAGAGGTGATTTCTCTGTGTCTCAGTGTTTTACAGGAGCTGACAAATGCTAAGAAGATTTGAAATCGATTTGAAGATCACTATGCTGAATTACATTCATTGCAAATACAACTTTGGCAATTGTAATACTTCGGCAGCATACTTTTCATTTAAGATTTGAATATGATGCCCAAGCTTACTTAGCTCACTTGCTCTTCAAAGAGATACATTTAAGGAGTCAGGAACCTGGATTTAAAGTAGAAAAATGTAACATTAAAATTTTTATTTTATGCTGAGCATGATGTATGCCTATCATCTTAGCATTCCGAAGGCTGAGGCAGAAAGTTTGCAGTTAGTTCCAGGCCAATTTGGGCTATATCATGACACCCTGTTT